AAGGCGATGGTGGCGCATGGTGGCAGCAGACACAGTGGCAATGGTTAGTAATTTATTAGCTTCATTGGTAAAATTTGTTTTAAGTACTGAGAATGAGTTGATAATCTACTTTAAAGTTTAACTTTGGTAAATTCCTTTCCTCGATGCAAACAAACTACCTTAAAAGCGGGTCCACATTGGTTACTTTGCCAAACCTTAGTAATTTGAAGTGCATGTTGGTAAGTGAATACAAGTTGCTAAATCTCTTAGGATGTTAACAATGTAAGATTTTGGTATAATGCCAAATTTCTAAATAGGTTGAGAACTTATTATTGCATTTTGCATTGGTAATTTCCTTACATTGTTGGCAACTTATCACCGCAAATGAGAGCCAACCTCGATCAGTCAGTAATTTGACTAATAAAGTTTTGTTTTAAATGGTTAATTTATAACCTGGTTGATAATTTACTACCTTAAAGCTAAGCCAATTTTGGTATCATAGCCATATCTCGGGGAAATTGTCAAAAAAGTCCTACACCGATTGCACTTTTGCCAATATAGACCTAAACCTTTTAATTTTATCAATTTTGTCTTAAACCTTTTCACTTCTTGCCAATTCAATTCATTCGGCCAAATTTGGCCGGTTGGTGCTGACGTGGCTACCGGCCAACACCGACGTAGCAATTTTTAAATATTTTTTTTCCTTTTTTTCCTTTCTTTTTTTTTCTGCCCTTCTTCCCTTTGGCCAGTTCGGCGACCGGCCAGAGGCGCGGGCCACTGGTGAGGGCGAGCCTCACCCGCCGCTGCCTGTGTGAGATCAAGGCCGACCTCACCCAGCCAAGGCAAGGCCGACCTTGCCGTCATTGGGCGAGGTGGAACCCAACACCGTCAGAGGTTGGCTTCGCCCAACCAAGCTGAGGCCGACCGAAGACGGTGCTAGCTGGCCTTGCCATGGCTGGGCAAGGTGAAACCCAGCGACGATGGGGTGGAACCCAGCGATGGTGAGGTTGGCCTCGCCTCAGCCTTGATCTTGCCCAAGCAGCGGTAGGCGGGGCTTACCCTTGCCAGTGGCTAGTGGGGGTGAGGTCGACATCGTTGGCCTGCGCCTCTGGCCGGTCGCTAGACCGCTAGAGGGAAGAAGGGTAGAAAAAAAAAAGAAAGGAAAAAAAAATTAAAAAAATTAAAAAATTGCTACGTCAGCGTTGGCCGGATGGACTGAATTGGCAAGAAGTGAAAATGTTTAGGACTGAATTGGCAAAATTAAAAAGTTTAGGACTGAATTGACAAAAGTGCAATAGGTTTAAGACTTTTTTAATAATTTTCCCACCGAATCTCAGTAAACACAAAATGAATCTTGATAAGCTGGTTACGAATTGTTAAATCCCTTTGTAAGTTACTAATTTCACTAGTGAGATTTTGTTTATATTGGTAAATTTCGCATGATTCACTATTAGATTTGACGCGGGTAAACTCCTTACATTGTTGGTAAATTACCAATAGTGTATCATGCGAGCAATTTGTAGGTCATCTATATCAACCAACAGGATTTACAGTTTACGAACTGTTAGCAGTGAAATTCACGGCCCATGAACGAAGTCGCAACACAAGAGATAGGTTTGTTGCACTAAATAAGCTGACTCATTCGTTGGGCCGCGATATGACTCAGCTCACCGTCTGAAAGTTTGCTCAAGCAAATTGCACAAAGGCATTCAAACACTTGAGCAATTATCAGATTTGAGTATCAATTTGTACGAACCGACTAGTTAAAAATAAACACCAAAGATTAGAGGGTATGAATTTATGTATCCGTGTTGCGAATTAACAAAGGGAAGAGAAGCATGAAGTACAATTTTACAGTAACCAAAGTATGAGAGACAACCACCAAGAATGGTCGAGGTACCTAGGTATTCTTGTGCGATATGAGAAAATTATCCGATTAGTTCTAAACCGATCATAAAGATGTCAATGTAGCCTCAAACTTTTTAATTATGTCAATTTAGTCCTAAATCTTTACGTGAAATTCCAATGTAGTCATTCTGGTATATTTTCTCCAAAAATAGCTGACTTGGCAAATCTCATTGTTGGCCATCCTACGTGGCACATCGCTATATCAGCAATTTCTGAGACAATTAGCCCGAAAGGCTATATCGGAACTTTATATAAAAGTTTAGGACTAAATTGGCAAATTTTGAAAATTTATGACTGAATTTGTATCCGTATAATAAGTTTAAAACTGATTTAACAATTTCCCCGTTGCAAGATGAACATATTTGATTTTCTTTGTGTCATGCTTGTGTAAATTGTTTTGGTTGGTTTAACTTGATTGCTCTATTTTTTACACGTAATAAGACGCAAGCAAGAGGAACTCTCTTTTCATCGCTCAAACTTTGGGATGCCGCATCCATTAGTGGTAGACCATTGTGAAAAATCAAGTGAGAAAAAGGTAAGGCAAGTTGGGCAATTGGTTGCGACGTCAGGGAAATTTTAAATTAGCTCCTGTTACTTATTCAAATCGCACTAATTGCATGCAACTATTCCGCCACTCGATAGACCCACGGCTGAATTTATCTAGTTTATTGGATTTCATGGTATTTCACAAGTCTCCAAATAGCCGAGCTCTATGCTCGTACCTTTAATTATAAAAAACAGGTACGCCATCGACGTAAACTATCTTTTGATATGTCTGAATCTTGTCGGGGGAACTGGTGTTTATGGTTTTGATGGATCAGTGGTAAAGTTGCGGCGTCCAATCGCATGACGTTTAGCTAACTCTAGCAGTGACGGGCCAAAAGAACTGGATTTCCTTAATGATTACTTAGAAGTGCAGTCTGTTCGAGCTCTAGTCTTTTAGTCTGTAGGCAATCTATGTTTCAAGAAACGTTTTGGTATCGGATTGTTCTTTTTTGGTAATAGAAGGCAGTTGAAACCTCAAGATAGGAGTTCGACAGTGCGTATCATACTCCTACTCGGGTTAACTATATTTGCATATTGTCTGTAGAAAAAATATACTAATGAATTCTGTAGAACATGGATTCATGTTGAAAATCCGTGTTTTATGACTTGATCCCAATTAAAAGAGAGAATTACATGATAGTCCCTGAATTTTGGCCCGATGTGCAATGTGATCCATAAACTTTTATTTTGTTCAATTTGGTCCATGAACTTTATCTAAATGTATTAATTTGTTCAAATTCTAGTGCTTAGATTATATGAAAATATCTAATATTATCATTCAGTTAATTCAAGTCTTGGGTACCTTTTGCTATCGAGTCATGCCCTTTGGACTCAAGATTACTGGGGCAACCTACCAAAGGGCCATGATCTTGCTCTTCCATGATATGGTTTACTTTGAGATGGAAGTTTATGTAGATGATATGATTGTCAAATCTCGAAATAACAATGAAAGGAATTGTGATATGGATGGAATATAATGACATAGAGCCACTTTGAGGTTCCCTATGAAATGAGGCATGGAACGAAGCCACTGCAAAGAAGTTCCGGGAGTTACGAAGGAAACTTCGAGTTCATATTGGTTATGAGTTGAGAACCGGAATTGAACTCTATGAGATCTAACTATATTTTTATATGATCTAGGAACTAAAGTATGGGGATCACATTGCACATTGGGATAAAGTTTAAAAATCATATTGAACAAATTAAAAGTTTATGGACCACATTGCACATTTGGCCAAAGTTCGGGAATCATTTGTGTTATTTTTTCCAATTAAAATTATTCTTTTTGTGCACAGGATAATACATGAAATTTTTTTATTTGTTAACCAACATCTGGAATGGGACAAAAAATATACCCAGCCCATTATAGAGGAATCATAGTGGAAGGCCAATTTAGATGGATCAAAGCTGGCCCCAAATTCATTCACACTTTTAAAGACCGCCAAGCTCCGACGCTATTGCTGTGCTGCAGGGGCGGTCATTACGGTCACGAAAAAAGGCAGTACGCAGCAGCAGAATACGCTAAAAACTACTAGGGACAGGACGGCTGTTCCTAATGATAGGCTTTCATAACCGCATGGTTAGCCATCCCGGAAAAGCTAGTGACGAGCTTCACAAAGCAGTCGCCAACTTCCAATGGAAGCTTATAAGTGACAACGGGGCAACAGGCTTTGCGCGGTCGCTTATGCCCGTTCGGGTAGGTATATTACACTGAGTAGATTTTTTCTACTGCATATCTTGACATAGTAATTATCTGCTGGGGAATTGTGTTGGTGTGAAAAGGAGGGAAACAGAGAATCCAAGAGAAGCTAAGGCAATGAGAAAACAAATGTATTCGTCGAAGTTATACCAAGTTCAAGCCGGCCAAACGACCAAACAAGCATTCATTTCCTTAAAGCCGTGATAAGAGAGATATACTTTTTTTTTAAGGGAAGCAAACCAGAAGCCATTCTCCAAAGAAACATTTAATCACATCATCTATGAGAATTTCCACAGTTAGCTTCCAAGATCATCGAACGGTGCAGACATTTTAATCCTTGTGAAATCAAATAAGTAGATTTTACACTATCTACACCATGAGTCACGAGCCAGTTTTAATGAGGTTGGAGTTGGATGATGAGGAGTATGAATTTTCCTTCTTTTTCTCGCACTTTTTGGGAATAAAGCAAGCACTTAGTTGAGGGATATCCCCATGAGGGCCATTCGGACGGAATAACGTCGATGTCGATGTTTCCACACCCTGTAAATACCTGCATTCATGTTACATACCAGGATGTGTCCTGACCTTTCGGTGATCTGTCCATCTCCCCCAATTGAATCAAGTATCGAAATACAATTGGAAAGTTGGCCAAACAATTCCATTTTTTAATTTTTTTAATCTCTCTGTCTATTTTCGTCGTGTTCTATTTATACATGTAACAAAATACACCAAAAAGTTCAAAAAAAAAACCAATCCTTTCCTAACAAATTTCAAATTACTCAATTACTTTCATTTTTTATTTAGTCGTGTAAATTCTAAGAAAAAAAAGGTGCAAATACCTTCAGAGAGAAAAGCGGAGAATTTGGAGTCATAAGTAGTGTTCATAGTAATATTCGAGCTTGTGAGTTATGTGCGGAATATGAGCAATCTTGTACCAGTCCTCGACTGCTTCTTTCTTGCACCTCTCCTCCAAATCTGGGCAACCTGCGATCTTTAGGTGAATAAGCATTGTAAGCCTTCGCATTGCTTTTGGTAATGATGTCAACGAGGGGCACCGGATGATTTCAAGCGGTTGGAGTGATTGAAGGGTCTCAATTTGCTCCGGTAAAGCCTTCAAATTTAAACACTTTTTAATAGAAAGCCACTCGAGATTCCTGACCTGTAGAAGCCACTGTGGGAGAGATGCTAGTTTGGGAACATCAAGGATGTCCATTGACAGGAGACTCTCGAGTCCTTGTAAATCCAAGATGTTGTCACTTTTGTCTTTGGATAAATCGAGCTTCTCACGGTACTGAAAAGAGAGATGCGCAAGGTTCGACAGATATTGCATACTAAGTGAGAGGCAAGCTAACCGAGGACAATGATAGTTGCCAAGAAATTCAAGTGAAGTAAGACTTTGCAAACACTCCTCTCGCAAACACTCTAGAAACTCCATCTCCAAGATATATAGACTCTTCAACTTATTAAGGCCAAATATCTGATTTATCAACTTTGGGTTGACCTTACTCAGAGTTAACTCCTCAAGATGTGTAGCTAGTGGCATGAGTTTCAAGTTTTCACAATAACCGATCCATAATCTCAATAGACTAGAAAATGGTGTTGTTAAAGTGGATGAATGATCTGAATTGATGTATTCCAATTCAGTCAAGCCTCAAATCTCTAAAGACTTAAGGTGAGGTAATAGGCCCAATTGAGGGAAATGTTTACATCTTCCACATCCCTTTAGGCGTAACTCAACTAAATTTGGCAAGGAAAAAACAAGGTTATCCATCGTCCACCGTGGAAAGCTCTCACCTTTATATCCATCGATCGTCAAGCTTTGCAGATTTGAGGGGGGCCTCAGTCCATCCACTAGAGCTTCATCTTTGTCCCCAATTACTGCATCATCAGTATCGAGACAACCCCATTGAAGTTCCAAAGATTCCAGAGAATGCTTCCCTATCAAGTTTGCAGCCTTGAATTCAGCTACTTCTATTACGTGGCCCAAATTTTCAATGCTAAGGCTTCCCCGAATGTTATCAAGCCCATTTAGCTCCCCAAGTTTGCAAAGCAAGAGCTTTATTTTTGGGAAAAATGAAGCGTGTTAGCCGATGCAGATACTTCAATTGTCCTAGTCCACGTGGCACACAACTAAGTTTCCTACAATCATCTATGCCTAGATTTCGAAGGCTGACCAACTTCCTTTTACCCCTTGGCAATTCTTCAAGGGCAGAACACCAGTAGAGATGACGTGTTTGCAAATTTTGCAATCTTGTAATAGAGTTTGGAAGCCTTTTGAGTACATTATTGTGAGAGAGATCGAGATACGTGAGATGCTTCAAGTCACAAATGGACCTTGGCACCTTCTTGACATTTGTGGCATGCAGATTCAAGATGCGCAACCTCTTGAAACTTTGAATGAGTTGGCATATATTTGCTTCAATTGCTGGTTCTCTTTGATCCAATTCCCGATATGTAGGTTCAGGTGCGACAAAAAGAAATGTTCTTTGTGCACTTGCTTTCAAGCATGAAATTGGAAGTTCACCCATCAAATTGAAAGTTAAATCATGAGATATATGACGAGTTCTTCATGTATGGATTTTGTGTCATCCCATGCCACCCAACATTCCATCCCTGCAACTAAGTAGGCTAGATTGTGCATCAAATCATGCATTTTGCAAATTTATGTGTCTTTTTCGTAATCTTGGAAGAAGTTACTCGAAAGTGGATCCTTGAAATATCCATGAGCTATGTCTTCTAAATATTGACTTCTATTTGATGGTTGGATAAATCCTTTTACCACCCAAAGATTGACCAAAATCTGCTTCTTTATCCTATAACCTTTGGGAAACAATGAACACAACACGAAACAGTGTTTCAAATGTAAAGGAAGATGGTCATAACTTAGCCTAAGAACAGATACTATGCGGTCTTCCCTTTGAGACACTTATGGGAGCTCATAATCTTTGAAATATAACATTTCAGATTTAGTTTTCTTAAAGAATAGTAAACTCCCAACAGTTCGAACAACTAATGGAACCCTAGAGCACTTTCTTACTATCTCTTTGTCAATAGCTAGCATGTCAGGATCTTGTATCTCCTCTTCTTTTCAACAAGCCATTCGCAATAATAAATCAAGAGATGCACTTTCAGATAAGCCGCTAAGAAGATGAGGCGGTGTAGTGCCGGTGGTCTACACAGCCAAAGGAAGGCGTGTCGTTAGAAGGATCTTGCTTCCTCTAGCACCTCCGACCAGTAAAGTTTTCAAGCTCAGCCATCAATTGATGCCCTTAGTTCACTTTGCAACCCTTCCATCGCAACTTCAGTTGGTTCTTTTTTCTTTGCACAAGCTATGATCTTTTTCACTATTTTTTTCACTTCAAATTAGAGACACAAACCCACATTTTCAAGTTAAATTGTTTACTGACCATCTCATCATTATATACAAATTGAGCAAGAGCCATTTTTCCAAGCCCACCTATACCAACTATCGGAAGGATGGAAACATGCTCGTTCAAGTTTGAATTCAATAAAAATTTCAAAACCGTCTTCTTATCGACGTCTCTTCCGGTAATATCTCCCTCACGTATAAACGAACGCGTCTCTTCTCTCTTCCTCCACTCTCTCTCTATTTGCGAACCCATAGGGCGCTCGTCGAAGTGGAATCTCATTCCAGAGTTAATGGCTTCTATTCTCTCCCTCACTGCTCTTACTTTGTAACTCATCTTCTGTTAGTGATCTACCCTAGGAATCAATCAAGGTTGATACTCTAATATTAGTTGTGGATTAGGTTGTGTCGGAAAATCGACCTTCACTATACTTAGGTAGTCATAATGTCTTGCTAGAGACCTCTTATGACTTGTGGGCCGAAAAGGGTTTTGAGCACACTGCTAATGTTTAGTGAACCTACAGAGTCGCACACAATAGCGAACTGAGTTAATATTTTCTGTGCGCCGAGATGTACTTACAATAAGAAGTAGATTTTAATTTATTCTCTATTCAACTTATCTACGCGGTCGTGCACATTATGAGATAACGATTAAACGTACGATTGAAAGTGGACAGTTTAGCGGGCCCAAATCGTCAGGCCCTACTTCTTTTAATTCGCGTAGATAATGAGGATATATATAGCGTGTGAGTGAAAAAAACCCTAAGAAAGAAAAACGCCTCCAAGAGAATACGAAGAGAATCGTTCTCTATTCAGATATCTTTGAGAGAGTCTCGAAGATCAAAGGCTATCAGGAAAAAGAAGTCCAAGATCTTTAGCTAGCACTTGGATCGTTGGAGACTTCCGTTCGTGTGTGTGGATACCGGTAGAGGCGCAACACTTGGGGCGCTAATCCAAACACAATCGATTGTCAATTTACTTTCGATCTGCAAAAGGTACGAGTCGAACTTCTGTTTAGATTTCAATATACACATAGATCCTATCTAGGGTTTCGATTTATAGATTCCGCTACGTTTTTAGCACTAGAGGAACCCTACAGCTTCAGTTTAGAAGAAAGCTGATTAGAGCTTGAGAAAAATGTCCTTACCTCCTTGCTCATTTCATTGTGGACCCTCAGTTCTCGTCACATGGCTTCTATATTGAATTCTTCAAGCACGTCCCGCGCATTATAGAAAGCGTCCTTCAGTTTCTCAAGCCAAAGTTGGATTTGGCGACTCCGGTAGTATTGCTCCTCTGCATCTCCAGCACAGCCCGAAGCGTGGAGACAGTGTCCCTGAGCACCTCCGGTTCATGCTTGACGTCCCATAAATTTCGAACGTCTTCTAGTGCTCTAGGAACCAGATTAGCAACGATCTCTCCAGCAATGCTCCCAAGGACAGCTTCCGCCATTTTTGTTCTCTGTGTGTATGTGTGTGTCAGTAGATATTACTCCAATTGTTCCAAGGCGAGAGACATCTCAAAACTGTATAACAAGTTTATGAGACTGAATTTTCAGCTTCTTTGACCGAGTAGAGTTGTTGAATATAGGAATTCTAATCAATGCATGCGAGCCTAATTTTCAACGTGGAAGGTGGGGTGGGAGGTCCGCGATTGGTTTGTCCAAGACATTACTTGATTCTAGCGTTTTTACTCGTCTAACATGCTTGCAAGGGCAATGAAAGTGCTGGTGCTGAAGTGACACAGATATTTATTTAGCAGCCTATTTTCCATCTGACAGATTCCGAGGCCCAGAAGCGAAGGAGAAAATAGGACCAAGTTGTGCAGGAAATTGCGTCTCCAATGGCAAACGATATTAACATCTGTCAGAATTCTCAAATTACATTCCTAGTGTTAGACAGCAAGGCTACAGCTCAGCAGAGATTTCCTCCATGATTATTTTCCTGTATTAGAGATCTAAATATATTTAGGAGATTTTGTCTTGATTTGATTTGCTGTAATTGATATTTGTTATTTGTTACTTTAGATAGTTAACCTTTAAAGCCTATAAATAGGCACATGTACCTTTCATTAGCGATGTACAAAAATATTATTAAAAACACAATATATGGCTGCCTTTAGTTGCAACTCTTGTTGCCTTAAGATATTAATTTCTTGAGGTTTTACATGGTATCATAGCTATCAATTGCGAAAGCATCATAGCCATGAGTTCCGATCTAAGTTCCTCAATAGAATCGAGTCCCGCGACATCCGCTGCTGTTAGCATCTCAATGCCATCCAGTTCAACAATCTTGTCTCTCACTAGCCCCGTCATTCCGTCATTTGGAAATTTCATGGGGTCATCTAGTTGTCCAAATCTTGGGGTGAAATTCACCGGGGACAACTACGCGGTGTGGAAAGCTTGAATCCTCCCCTTCCTTCGAGCAAATAAACTGATTTCGATCGTCGATGGAACGCTGCCATGTCCTCCACAACAAATTACTCAAACCAATACAGATGGTTCTTCCAATATTGTGCCCAATCTTGAATACGATAACTGGTATACACGGGACCAGATTGCTCTCGGGTGGATCTTAAGCAAGACAGCCGATTCAATTGTGGGTCAGTTATCTAATCTGAGCACCTCTCATGCTGTGTGGAATTTCTTCTCTGCATCTTTCGCTACCCAAAATAGTGCGCGAGCTACCCAATTGCGGCTACAACTTCAGACGATGTGAAAAGGTAATCAAACAGTGACCGAATTTCTTCAACATGCTACTTTTATATCTGATCAATTGGCCTCCATTGGTGAGATCTTCTCACCACAAGAGTACCGAACGCATATCTTCCGAGGCCTAGGAGCTGAGTTTCAAAGCTTGGCTGTTGCAATTTCGGTTCACACTCAGCATCAACAAATGACCAGGGAGTCTTTTCATGGCCTTTTCTTGGCTCATGAAGCACTATTGGAGCTCTAGGAACCACAAACTACCCAACCAGCCGCCTTCGTCGCGCACAACACCAGCTTGGGCCAAAATTCCCATTCACAGCGTGGCCCTATTTCCAATTTCAATAGCCCCAACTCAAATACGGGGCAACAGAGGAATCTTAATCCTCATGGATAGCAGCCCAGCTTCAATAATCCGGGCAACTCTCAGTACCGAAATTTCAATGGCAAGAAAAATCAAAGACGTAGCAATGTGAGATGCCAGATTTGCAACCGCCCGGGACATAAGGCCGTTGCTTGTCGCAATCGGTTCAACCAACAATTTGGGTTCTCTGGAGGCCACACGCACCAGCATTAGTCACTTCCATCACAAGTTCAATTGGCTGAGATACCTCCTCCACCATCGGTGCTTTCTCCCGATGCCTGGTATCCCGACTCGGGTGCCACACATCATATTACCAACAATCCTCATCAGCTGTCCTCAGTTCAGCCATATCATGGCACTCAACAGGTCACCATAGGTAATGGGTCAAGTCTTCCCATCACTCACATAGGTACCCTCATTACCCGTGATTTTCGCATGTCTACTATCCTGGTCGTTCCGTCTATCACTAAGAACTTAATTTCTGTTCGTCAATTCTCTGCTGAAAATTCATGTGACTTTATTTTCTCACCGAACTGTTTCTTTGTGAAGTGCCGTCGTACGGGCAAGATCCTTCTCCGGGGGGACATTAATCAAGGCCTTTACGCACTCTCATCATTGTCACCTACGTCTCCAACCTGCTTCGTTTCTCAAGTGGAGTCACTCACCCATTGGCATCGTCGTCTTGGTCATGCCGCATTTCCTACTATTTCAAGAATCTTCAATAAGTCGTTAAGTCCTGTTCCAGTTTGTTCAGCTTGTCTTTCCAGCAAAAGTCATAAACAGTCTCATCCACCGACCACTAATAGGTCCAAGGCTCCCCTAGAACTAGTTCACTTTGATGTATGGGGGCCTGCTCCTGTCACGTCGTCCCAAAATAATAAATACTATGTTTGCTTTACGGATGATTACTCTAAATTTTCTTGGTTTTATCTTTTTCATTCTCGCGACCAATTCTTATCCATTGTCACTGTTTTCCTCACCTTCGTTGAAAATCAACTTAACACTAAGGTCAAAGCTTTTCAATCTGATCATGCGGGAGAGTTTATCTCTGCACCGTTTGTTCAATTATTGCAAGCAAAAGGTATTTTTCATAGGACCTCCTGTCCATGCGTACCCCTTTAGAATGGCTCAGTCGAGCGCAAACATCGCCACATAGTTGAAATGGGACTCGTGATGCTCTATCATGCTTCTGTCCCCTATCATTATTGGGACTTTGCCTTTGAAGCAGCTGTACACATTATCAATCGGCTGCCCACATCGGTTCTGCAGAATAAATTACCATGGGAGATTTTATTTCAAATGGTTCAATCTATTGCTCATCTAAGAGTTTTTGGCTGCACAGTGTATCCCAATCTTCAACCCTATGCGAAGAATAAACTGCAACCAAGGTCACATCAGTGCATTTTCTTGGGCTACCCATCAGGATACAAAGGATACCGGTGTTATTCCCCTCAGCATCGACGGTTCTACATTGTTGCTGATGCCGTGTTTGACGAATTAGATCTCCCTTATGCGCAAAACACTCCGCAATCATCTTCGGAGGCTGCCGCAACCATTCAGCTGCTTATTTTTGCTGAGTTTTCTAGAATTCCTCTGCCACAGCAACCACCACGTGAGCCTTGTTCTCCCTCTAATTGCGATTTGTAGTTTGCTAATTCCTTGCTGCAGAATCAGCGCAGTTCAGGTGTGTCCGAAATCTCACTGCATGAACCCACTGATGGGTCTCCCTCTCAGTCCGCAGCTGCACCAATCCTGACAATAGCTTCTCCGTCGAATTCACTAGCTCAGCCGACACATCCTATGGTGACACGCCTTCGTGATGGCACTTTAGCCCGCAGACACATTCGTAGTGATCACACTTATGCGTTGGCCACCTCTGTGTTAGATTTTGTCACACCTTCTTACTTTAGTCAGGCTGTGAAAGATGCAAATTGGTGTGCGGCTATGGCAGATGAATACACTACCCTCATCAAAAATGACATTAGTGTCCCCTCCTCCGAATTGTAAACCCATCGGCTGCAAATGGGTCTTCCGGGTTAAGCTCCGTGCTGATGGTTCTCTTGAGCGGTATAAAGCCCGATTGGTTGCAAAGGGATTCCATCAACAAGAAGGCATCGACTACAATGAGACTTTCAGCCCTGTCGTCAAGCATGTGACAGTTCGCACTATCCTCTCAGTTGTCTTTTCTCGTGGGTGGCAACTCCGGCAGCTTGATGTGAAGAACGCCTTTCTTCATGGTCACCTAACAGAAGAAATTTTCATGGAGCAGCCCCCTGGCTTTGTTGATTCTGCTCATCCCCACTATGTCTGCAAATTACATCGATCTCTTTATGGTCTCAAACAGGCTCCTTGAGCCTGGCATCAACGCCTCAATGCTCTTCTGGTTCAGCTGGGCTTCATTCCTTCAATTACCGATTCATCACTCTTTATTCTTCATACAGCTCAGCATAGTATTTTCCTCCTGGTTTATGTTGATGACATTATTGTCACTGGGTCACCTAATGCACCATTGTCGGCTCTCATTAAATCTTTGCAGCAGGAATTTTCTATTAAAGATCTAGGAGAGCTTCATTACTTTCTTGGCATTAAAATAGATCGGACAGACCGAGGCATTATTCTCCATTAGGCTAAATATGTTGCAGATTTACTTATGCGGGCCAAAATGACCGAGGCTAGTCCTGTTTTCACGCCATGTACCACTTCGGCTGGTGCCCCGTCTGCTCATCTTGGTGCACCCTTCTCCGATCCACGCCATGTACCACTTCGGCTGGTGCCCCGTCTGCTCATCTTGGTGCACCCTTCTCCGATCCATCGCTATATCGCAGCATTGTAGGGGCTCTACAATATCTCACGCTCACTCGCCCAGATATCGCATATGCTGTCAACACAGCTTGTCAGTTCATGCACTCTCCCACTGAGATCCACTGGCAATTTGTTAAAAGGATCCTTCATTTCATCAAAGGCACTCAACATCATGGTATTCTCTTCACTCCCGGCTCTTCTTTTCAGCTGCATGCTTTTTTCGATGGGGGATGGGCTAGTGCTCCAGATACTCATCGCTCTGTTGGCGGGTTTGGCATCTTCTTGGGTTCAAATCTCATTTCATGGAGCTTCCGCAAACAGCGGACCGTTGCCCGATCAAGTATCGAAGCTGAGTTTAAGTGTCTTGCTGATACCACTGCAGAACTTATTTGGATAGAAGCTCTACTACGCAATCTTCATGTTCGTTTGCCTGCTCCTCCTGTCCTTTGGTGTGATAATCTTTCTGCTATCTATCTTACTGGCAATCCCATCTTCCATGCTCGCACTAAACATGTAGAGATTGACTACCACTTTGTGCGCGAGTGTGTGGCCAAAGGACAGCTTCATGTTCAGTACATCTCC